CGGCGGCCTAATCTCCAGGCGCTTGAGCGCCCGTGCCGGTAGGCCACCCGCCTAGGAGGCGTGTGAGGCGGCGGCCTATTCCCCAGGCGCACGAGCGCCCGCGCCAATACAGGAGTAGGCCGCCTGCCCCGTGCAGACAGGCGTCTCTCCTCGGTCGACTATATACCACCCAGGGAGCCCTTCTCACCGATGGATGGGCGGACGATGCACAGCGGGAGGTCGGGGTAGCTCCTCGCCACCAGGTCCTCGGCCAGCCGCTTGGAGTAGGTGTAGGTGTTGGGGTGCGGCGCCAGCAGGCTGTGGAAGAGACAGCGCGCGGGTCAGCGGTCAGCACACAGACACAACAGCCCCGACCCCGCGTGCGCGCGACACCTCACCTGGGCGCCACCTTCTCGAGCGTCTCCTCGTCCACCATGTCCCCGCAGCTGATCATGTTTTCGGGGGTGATGGGCGGCGGGTACGTTCGCTCCTCGAGGTTCTCCACGTCGCAGTGACAGAACGCCGTGGACGTGTGGACGAACACCTGCGGAACAGGGTGGGAGACGAATGAGATCAGGTCGAAGTTACACATGTACACATGTAGTTTTCTTCTGAACGAGTGCAAGGCGCACAGCATAACGCTTACGCCATTTTTATGGCGGGCAATGCGCCAGGCGGGCCGAGTGCAGCCTCCGGGCGCCCAGAGCGACCAGCACGGCGGAGGCGGCGGCGCCCCACGCCACGCACCACACCACGCACCACGCGCCGTCCCGGACCGACGAAAGTGGGACTCACTTCGGGCACCAGCCTGGCCCGCCGTCGCCGGAGTAGAGACGTGCAGACTCGGGCGGGGCCGAAATGACCTCTGCGCGTGGCGTCACTAAGGACCTTTGCAAAACTCGAGCTGGTTTTGCACCGACCAAGTCAGCCCGTCTGGCGCGCAGCCGAAACCAGACGACACTGTTAATTATGTTTCCTCGGGGAATTATTTAATGCTGCCCCTCTCATTATTTTGAGTCACAACGTCTTTTTATCGTTGTCGCGAATAAAAAACACAATGCTTGGACGGCGTACCTTGAGGTGCGGTAGTTCCCTGGCGAGCTGCAGGGCGCGCTGGGTGCCGCGGGTGTTGAAGTGGAGCGCGTTCTTGAGGCTGCCCTCCAGCTTGAGGGTGGCGGCGCAGTGAAACACCACGGACACGTCGCGCTGCAAAGCACCACAGACACAATTAGTATAGGACTCTGTTGGGTAGCAGCAACATCCACAAAAATGTTTACGTCCTCCGGGTCGCGTCGCCCCGCAGCTGCGGTCGACGCTCGTCCCGTCCCTCGCCGACGTCACGGTGACCTCGAGCACTCACCTTGATCCGCTCCAGGTCGTCGTCCCCGATGCCCAGGCTCTCGAGGCCTACGTCACCCGCCACCATCCGCATCTTGGACAGCTGCTTGGGACAGTCTCTGCGCACGCGCTCGAACACCTGCGGGCGCACAGTACAACAGTGAGGAGAGTCCTCGTCCCTGCGGACCGCCGTCGAGGGGTCGTTTGGTATAATTTCAAGCGTGCTCCATTTTTTCTGTCCTGGCTTTTTCCTGATTTTTGTGAGTGAAGGAACCCCAAAGCCCCCCCGGTCACCATGTCCCGTCACTCACCGGTAGGTCCTGGATGGCCGCCATCCGCTCGGCCGGCGTCTTGCCCCGCTTGGACCGCATCAGCATGTAGATGGGGCCCACGTCCGGGACGGCCCATAGCAGCTTCTCGACGAGCACCTTGCCGAGCAGGCCCGTGGCGCCCGTCACCAGGACGCCGCGGCCGCTGTAGAACGCCGCCACGCTGCTGCGCGGCTCCCCCATCCTGGAACACGTCGGCGCGCCGGTCAGGTCTCTCAATCTCAATGTTCGGCTCCTTTCCGTGGCGAGCCGTAACCTTGCCTTGCGTTATCGCAACGCAAATTGCAGGCCACGGTGTGAGGAGCAATACCATCCGTGCCTAGTCAGCCAAGGCGAGCCAAAGGCGCACAGGCAACAGCCGTGCACCGTACGCACAGATCTGCGAGTGTTACCTGAACTTTTCACAGAAAAAAAAATAGCTGTGTACTAAACCCAATAGCTAACTGAGGGATAGCTAATCATTTTGCTATGTACCTAAAACTGTAAATAAGAATTTAGGAGTGTAACTAAACATGTATAAATTTTTAGCTAAATAAGTAGTTTTCCCCTAATTAGCTGTCTAGCTATATAGCTAATCTTCTTTTGTGTATGTACGCTGTGCGCTGCGGGAGGAAAACGTCATGAAAAAATTGGAGAGGAGGGGGGGGGAGGGGAGAGGAACGCGCCTGCTGTGCCGAGAAGAGTAACGGGAGGGAGGCAGCAGCAAGGCCCCCATAGCAATGAGTCCTACGGGCCCTGCAACTTCAGCGCGGGCCCTGCGGAGCCCTGCAGGACCAGCGCGATTGTATCAGCGTGTACGTAAGACGTGCCGGCGAGGCGCGCTCGGCCACTACTGGTACCGCGCCGCGTGTCTAAATGCTACCCGCGTTGCGGCACACCCCAGCGCGCCAAGGCACACTCGCCATCCCGAGGAAAACGATATTTTTCTCTCGGCGCCTCTTGCAAACTGCAAACGACGACAACGACAGTTTTCTCGCTAATAATCCCCCCTTCCCTTCTTTCTCTCTCATTACTATTACCTCTCGCCGATATACCACACCCATCTGAAAAAAAAAAATGGGTCTCTCTAAATGACGGGTATAGAGCGAGGGTAATGACAAATGTAGGGTACGTGTCGGCGTTGCGTTGCGCGGTGCGGCACGGTCCATCGCGGCGTGGGGGTCTCCGTCCCGTCGCGAGAGACTCGCGTCATTATGCATGCACCTGCAGCCAGCCCTGCGCCGTCGTGAGCATACGGCTGAGCAGCGCTGACCAACGCTGAGCAACGCTGACCAGCGCACATGCATGGCACAATGCAGCGAGCTGCTCGAGCCGAAGCTGCAGCACTCGGGGAAAAAAGGAATGTGGCAAAAAACACGCGCATGGGCAGGTTATACTCGTGACAATTCCCGCGCCCGCGCAAATTAAGACTCGTGAGACGGACGACGAGGTAGGATGCACCACTGTATACAAGGAGGAGGAGGAGTCGCGTCCCTCGCGCCATTTGCGAGGATGGCTTCTGGAGAGGCTCGGCTTGCACGCTTGAGTGGTGTAGCATGCTCCAGCCAAGTGCAAATATACTTGCACGGTGCTCAGCGGGTGCGTAGTAGCGCCCTCTGTTCCAGGAATGTGATCAGCGGGAGACTCTTGAAATTAGTGAGTCAAGGCCATACTGCTGCTGCTGCTGCGCTGCTGCTGCGGCGGCTGGTTTGTCGAAACCGTGCGGCCCGTCCGTCAGTCGCATTCGACGCCATCCTCCAGGACTCCGCTCAATCCCGCGCCTGTGCCAGGTGTTCCAGTTCCAGTGCCGCGGGTTTGCCTTTACTTAATTCCGCTCGGAAGGGATCGTCCAGGAAGTACGTCCGTCATTCGCCGTTTCAGTTCAGACTCTTTGCTAGCTGTGATAACGCCTGATGGGTAGGCAACGTCTTTGTCTGCAGTGCATCCATGTACTGCGGGGTGGCCTACCCCGAGCCTCGCAGGCGCTGAGCTCTCGTAATCAGCCGATCGAATCTGAGAAAAAAACGGACGAACTTTCCGCACGGTCCCTAAACAAGGCGCCATGACCACTTCTGTGGCCCATAAGAGAGTACGCAAACCCGCGACTCTGTAGTGCCCTGCTCTGAAGCACCCGGTACAGTGTACGCGTACAGGGTACACTCTGCTCCGCGCCTTGGGAGTACGTGCACACGTGCCATTCATTATCCCAGACATAACAACCTCTGCCGCTGCTAAACACTGTACATCCAGGATATCATTTTTTTTCTCTGCTTCTATCCGTATTATTGCGATCCCCGCGCACTTTCGTGGACTTCCCCGGAGTGTGTCCCTACACACTGAAAAAAACTAACGTGACATGTGTCACGTCTCTTGAGGCACTTCTCCAGAGAAAACGTTTCCCGTCCCGATGCACTCTCCCTGTGATGCCTCTATCCTTTTATACATAGAGGAGAGAGCATCATGAAACGTTCTCTCCTGAGAGTGCATGATCACATGTGACGTACGTCACACTTGTTTTTCCAGTGTATGACGCTACATATTACTCCACCTCCATCCGCGTGTTTACGCTAGTTATCGATATTTTCTCGGAGATTGAAAACCGTTCTCGGGGGGAGGGGGGGGGGGATGAAAATATCCTGCCTTTCCTTGTACACATAACACCTACACGAGTCCTCCCCGTGGACCAAACGCATTTGCCTCACGCCCGCCCGACCCGGGCCGACTTTCATTTTCTATTCGGAAGGCGTGGTGGTATGATGGCGGTGTGAGGACCTTCCCAAGGCCGGTAAGGTAAGGGCCATGGGCGCAACGACGTGCACTGTTAGAAGAAAGTTGCATTTATTTTTCCCGGATCTAGTGAGCCGCCTGAAAGGTAGGCAATTTGTGCCACAAACCCTTGTAAGTAGGCAACCCAACGTCTAACCCCCCCCCCCCCCCCAGGCCGAACCTTACCGCGCCTGGCTGAGACACGTCTGTCAGGTGCGTGCAACGCACGGACCAGAGGTCTTTTGGGACCTGGGCATACATGACCAGCGCTAGTCGCGGGCGTGCTGCTGACGCTGCACTTTCTTTCGCTTGTTCGTCTTTTCGGGCCCGCGCTGTTGAAATGATGCGCTCCCCTGACAAATCTCTCTGAGGCAAAGACAAGGAGCAAAATAAAGAAAAGTCCGGAGGGACGTAACCAGGGACGAGTCCCCAGTTCCCCCGCGCTCCGGCTTGCTCAGGATGTGCGTGAGGAATGCGTTCAAGACGACTTGGCGGGGTGGGGCGGGGCGAGGCGGAGCGGGGTG